TTCCCTTCCAGGTCCTTCTTCCGAATCATCAGTTAATCTGGGGAGTCACCAGGAGGAACGGGGTGTGACCTCAGATTTCCTCAGTCTCCAGGCAATTGGGCCGTAACAATACCCACACAGTGACTGCTCCCACGCCCACCCTTGAGACATGCAGTTCAGGTAGGACCAACTGACATTCCCTACTTGGCAGGAAAAAAATATATATTAATAGCCCTTATACAGTATCAGCAAAGCTAGAAAGTAATTTAAATAATGTGCATTTTATCATTGCAAAACCAATTAAGGATCATATCTGTTCAAAACTTTACTTAGAAGCAATCACAATATTACTTTTTCTGAATTTGAAAATAGGTACAATTCAACAATGCTGTGATGCTATTGAACACCTCAAGCGTATCATTAAGCATAAAGCATCTACTTTGAACAAAAAAAACACTCGGAGATTACCTCGGTTAGTATTAGTCTTTATCAATTCCCAGAAAATATCATTACATACCACTTATTTATTAGTTTCAGTGATTTTTCTTCTGAGGAAACACTATTATAATCTGAATATATTTTAGCAACCTTCAGACTCTGAATTTGTTCCCTAAATTTACTTGCAGCTAAGGTTGGCATCCAGTTTAATTGACCTGGCTAGACCTCTGCATCCAGACTTTTGCATCCAGACTGAATGTATCTAGTTTAAATACATCCAATATTTGCTGCATGCAGCAGAGTGCAATTCTGTCACAAATATAAAAGATGAAACTGTGTTTGATCTGATGTGGTATAGGGAAATAAAGTTACTAATTTATTTATTTTGCAGTCAGGAGGAGAAATTAATATTTTAATATCAACTATAATATTTAGTGTTGGAGATTAAAATGCAAGGCATGGCAAAAATCTGACTACAGTATAAAGTTCTAATGCATAGAATCTGTTGATTCTCTTATTGGTAAAGCATTTGAAATCTTACTTTTATATTTAAATGCAGAAGCATTTAAAAACTACTTGATAATTTCAGAATTACATTTTAATTCATTCCTGTAGGGGATTTCCATCTAGATATATTTGTTTAGAGGATGTTGTCATGTGGCTTTTGAAACAGTGTGGACAACCCCAAACTGAATGCCGGCACAAAGTCATGGAACTATTATTTGAATTTGTTCCATTATTGCCAGGTATGTATATTACAACATGTGTAAATAGTCTGTTGCTAGCATGATAAACTGACTTTTGCACTGTGTCTCAGATTGGGAATTCCTTTCAAAAAATGCCTCTTTTGGAAGCCTAGTAATTTATTTTATTTTCCTCACATAAATACATTTTGAAAGTATGTGGACCGATTGTAATGTTGGATATGCAGAACATTAGATGACGTATATTCTATTTACATTGGTAGGACATGTAGTTCATTAAATTGGCTTTTGCCAAATCAAAGTACTATAAAAATGTTACAACCATTTTCTATAATTAATTAAAAATTGTATTATCATCCCGCAAAAATAAAATCCTTTGAATAATTAGCTCTGTTCATTTTGGAAATAGTTTCTATAGTCATGTCCCCCACCCTAGTTTTATAATAAAAATATTTTTTTCAGTTTTTTAAAAAATATAACCTTGGAATTGAATTGCAACAAATTTATCTAGAGTCTTTAATCTGTTTGCTTCTCTGACAGGAAACCCATCTCCATCTTCATGGTTGGGCAATGTTCTCCAGAAAGAAGGAATCTATTTTCTCATAAAGAAATTTGAAGGAGGAGGATGTGAGGGTGAAAATGTCTCTGGAATCTTATCTCATCCAACCCTCTATGAGTTGCAAGGGAGTTTTAGTTTGCGAGCTGTTGAACAATGGATGGATATGCTTCTAGCTGCCTTAGACTGTTACAATACCTTTATTGAACAGGGAATGATAAAACCAAGTGAGACCTTAGGTAGGTAGATGACATAATCAGTTTGCACTATGATTGTCATCCCAAGTCCATTAGAAAAAATTACATAAGTACAGGTATGAAAATGGTTCATACTCAACTTCATCTTTAATTGCAAATAAATTATTTTTGATATATTTTTTATAATCTTTTGACCAATAGACAGAAAGTCCTAGAGTTCCCCCCTTCATTTAGGAACACTGTTCCACTCGACCGATTGGCAAGTGCACTGGGGTGGATTTGCATTATAGAAGATCTCACTCTTCTTTGGCAAAAAGTATTTCAGTCTTATCATCAAAGAACTTTCCAAATGTATATTTTCTTCCTAATAAGGTCATTATTTAGTGCTGGCCATCACAAAGGCCTACTTTTAAAAAATAATATACACTATGTTGATATAAATTATTTTTGGACGTTCTTGTGAATTCTGGAATAAAAATTGTGATGGCTGTATTTTTAACTTTTTTTATATATTTGTTTAAAGCTACAAACACAGGGTCTTCATTTTTAAAATCATTGGAGTTCTTCCTTGGTAAAATTGCCTTGTACAATATATCTGGTGCAGAGCAATGTTTTAGCAGTGCATCCAAAGATGATACGTTGTTGAGCCCACAAGAAATAGAAGAATACAATTACAGCAAATGTACAATTATAGTTCGGATTATGGTTTTTGGCAGCATGATTTTGGAGACTCACCAGCAACATTTATGGAAGGTAGGTTTGACTTCACTGGTTCAAGTAAGTTTGCTATGAGCTACCACACTTAAAAGGACTAAATAAGTCTTAAATGCCTTATAAAAGGCAGGGAGGGCCAAGACATGCAGATCTACTGGTACTGTTATTCTACAGGTTGGACATGATGATAGAGAAAGCATGTTTCCTGGGTTCTACTAGATGATACTTAAGTAATGGAATTGGAACATAGCAACTCTATCAGATCTTATGAGACCAGTAGCAGTAATTGGATATAGACAATCTTGCACAGGTCTAGATCCTGTGCAAAAAGGTCCAGCGTCTTAAATTGTACCTGGAAGTCCATGTGCAATCAGTGTACTTTTGCAAAGTAGTGCTGTTGCATGGTGTCTCAAAGTGTATCATAACTACCTGTATGATATTGAGATGTACCCATAACTATCTATAATGCCATATCTTAAACCAGATATACCTTAAAGCCTCATATAGAGCATATTGCAGTAATCTAGATGAAAGATAGCCAATACATGAGTGAGTAAGACTTCCTGATTTAGGAATGGCACAGTTCACATATAAGATAGGTTTAAGATACATTTGTGATATAGTTTAGATGGAGTTAAAATAATGAAAGAATTGTGTAATTTTAAAAATGTCTTTATATCACACCGAAAATATTGTAACACAAAAGCAGCCATGAGGTGACCACGCTCGCTGCTTTCTGCACCTCAAAAATAAGACCTCCCCCAAAATAAGGCCAAGTGCTTATTTTGGGGATCAAAAGAAATAAGACCCTGTCTTATTTTTGGGGAAACACAATATAAAAATGAAATGTAGATTGAATAAAATTATTATTTCAAGAGGATGCACACAGAGATGGTATATTTAAGGGTAAACCTTAAAATAAATGCAAATGATAAACTTTTCAACTTAAAAGTACTTGTCTACCTCCTTTTCATCTTATCATTTCTAGATGCTTGAGAAAGAGCTGCTTAATGAGAATCTAATAAAACTTGTTGTGAAAACCATTTGTGACCCAAAAAGCGTAGGCTTTAATATAGTTGATGTACAAGTTATGGAAAATCTCCCAAATATTTGTGTGAGGCTAGTAAAAGCTTTAATGAACTCTCCCTATAATGAATCTTTAGAGAATCGTATCAAAGAAATAATAACCATGCAAAGGTAAGACACTTCTTGAATCAGTATTCTAATACCACTGTTTAAAAATGCAAATAATTTTTAGGGTGACATTTAGTGTGTGAGTGCAGAAGCAGAAGTGGATGGGGGCCCAGACTCGCCTCCCGCCCTGGTTTGAATGGAATACGTGGCCTGCTGGGA